CTCCCGGAGACCCGGTCCCTCTCGGGAGGGTAACAAGGGAAAGTGTTCAGTGCAGGTCAGTAAGCACCAGCCCGCCCGTGCTTACCTTGCTCCCAGAGACCCGGTCCCTCTCGGGAGGGTAACAAGGGAGCCGTCTGAGCACTAGTGACTGGGTTTTACCCCTTTCTCCTACTCTTCCGGCCTGCTACTCTGTGCTACGCCCGTGCTTACCCTGCTCCCGGAGACCTGGTCCCTCTCGGGAGGGTAATATAAGTTAGATATTTTATGATTCTGCTCAAAAACTGCTAATGTCTTTTCATATCACTCAAATCAAACTCAAAATCTCTACTATATCTACAATGCACTACATGCTGCTCACCCCCTTCCATCTCCTACTACTGTTCTTCATGTGGTCCTGCCACACTGATCTTCCTGGTGTTCTTCCACATAAGTCAAATGTGCTCCAGCCTCAGAGCCTTCACAGTTGGTAATTCCACCTTCTTTAAGTTCTTTACTTAGATATCCACATGGCTAGCTTCCTTACCTCCTACAGGTCTCTGCTACAGTGTCACCATCTCAGAGAGGCTCTCCCTATCTACCCCACAAAAAATAAGGCCTCCTCATCACTCTATTTCCCGGAACATCCTTTTATTTTCTTCATAGCACTTATCATCAACTAACACTTGTTATTTGTTTACTGTCTAGCATTAGAGCAGGAACATTGTCCTGATCACTGTTTTACCTAAGAGCTTAGAACAGTACGCAGGATATAATGTTGTTGCTATGTGCCGTCGAGTTGGCCCCAACTCATAGCGACCCTTCCTTAGATTTCCAAGGCAGTATCACTACAGAAGTAGGATTGCCCAACCCTTTCTTCTAAGGAGTGGCTGGTGGGTTTGAACTGCCAGCCTTCTGGTTAGCAGTCAAGTGCCTTAGGTGCGATGCTACCAGAGCTCCTTGGCATATAATAGGCACTCAAATATTAGTTGAATTAATAGGAAGAAAATATCAAAGATCTTATAATAAGAGGAAAATTTATGAGGCACAGACATGATAGCCACAAAAAAGACAATACTGGGAATGACTGAGGGAAATACTTACTGCTGCACCAAATTTCTGCTGGAACTGATCAATCAATGTGTATGTTACCTCTTCTTCCTCTACAGGTGAAGGATAGAATTAAATATATTTATTTTCCTTGACAATACAATAGCCTTCCCAATAACTTTGGCCATATTAATGAATTCCTATGTTATTACAACTGAAATGTCTACTGTTATCACCCACATCAGCCCATCATATATTAAACACTTATAGCATCCTGTTTGTCAAGTAAGAATAAACAGAAGCCCACCACTGAATAAATAATCTTATGACATGGACTACACTCACTTCTCTTTATCAAAATAATTAGTTTCCAAAATCAGGTCATTACATGAAAATTGGCATTTTGCAAAAATGAAGGATGTCTGTATCATTACATAACTGCCCAATTACATCACTATACAATTGTCAAATTTCATCATTATGTAACTGCTTTTAGTGAGCTGAAATGGACTGGTATTGGCCATTTCAAAATAGAATATCATATGGTCTACTGTGCCGGGAATGAAAAATTTAAAAGGAATGGTGTCACATTCATTGTCAAAAACAACATTTCAAGATCTATTCTGACATACACTGTTACCAGTAATAGGATAATAATCACATACATACATGGAAGATCAATTAATACAAGTATTATTCAAATTTATGTACCAATCACTAGTGCCACAGATGAAGAAACTGATGATTTTTACCAACTTCTATGTCTGAAATTGATCAAACATGAATCAAGATACATTAATACTGAGTGAAGATTAGAATGCAGAAGTTGGAAACAAAGAACAGAGATCAATAGTTGAAAAATATGGCCTTGGTGATAGAAATGATGCCTGATATTGCATGATAGAATTTTGTAAGACTGATGACTTATTCATTGCAAATACTTTTTTGCAACAACATAAATGGTGACAAAAATATGAACCTCACCAGGAGAAATACACAGGAATCAAATTAACTGTATCTGTGGAAAGAAATGATGGAAAAACTGAACATCATCAGGCAGAACAAAGCAAGAGGCCAACTGTAGACCATCAATTGCTCACATGCCAGTTCAAATTGAAGCTGAAGAAAATTAAAACAAGTCCACAAAAGGCAAAGTATGACCTTGAATATATCCCACCTGAATTCAGAGACCATCTCAAAGATAGATTTGACTCACTGAACACTAATGACAAGTTGTGGAAATCACATCAAGGGTATCATACATGAAGAAAACAAAAGGTCATTTCACTCTGTTATGCACAATGCCCCTATCAGTGGAAGCTGACTTGACCGCACCTAACATAACAACAACAACATAACTGCCAAACCATTGAGAGTCATTCTGCAGCCAAGGACACATAACCTGAACCATAACAACAACAAAATAAACCCAAACCCATTGCCAACTCACAGCCTCCATTGGGTTTCCAAGGCTGTAAATATTTATAGAAGTTCACTGTCTCATCTTCCTCTGGCACAGTAGCTGGTGGGCTTGAACCACCAACCTTTTGGTTAGCAGCCAAATCCTTTAACCACTACTACCAGAGTTCCTTTTAATCCTAACAGCCAGTGTTAACTCTCGCCTCGTACCTTGGTGCTCATTACTGCCCAATGCATGTCACTCACACGCAAAAACAGCTGGACAGATTTTTTTATTATTGTCATAAATGTGAAATGTCAGATCATAAGGTAGTCAATAAGTGAGGAGTAGGTCTATATACTCACTTCTTATGACAATCCAGTAATATTTCCTTCCTTATAGGTTTATATTCTGAGTACTTTATGATAACCACTTAAAATATATATATAACAAAAATTATACAGTTATAAATAAATTGGGCCTGGAGATCGGCCAAAGCCCACATTTTTTGAATTCTCTGGATCCTGACAATTAATCAATTTTTAATGTTTTATAATTTAAAAAACAGAGGTATAATACAGCATATACCCACTGCCATTGAGGTGTTCCAATAAAAAGCAACCCTCATTGGGTTTCCAAAGCAGTAAATCTTTACAGAAGTAGATTGCCCCCTCTTGCTTCCACAGAGCAGCTGGTGATTTGAATCACCAACCTTCTGATTAGCAGTCAAATTCCCTAGGCACCGCACCACCCGAGTTCCTTAACATAGCATATAGTTCCTCCTTATCTCTCAACTTCTAAAATTATGAAGTGCCATAGGACACAGTCCTTATACTTCTTTCTTTCCTACCTATACTCACTCTTTTGATCTCAACTATTCTCAAAGTTTAAACAGACTCACTTCTGAGTTGATATCTCCATCTCAGATCTCTCCATATCTGTTTAATAGCAACCCTATGCTTCAGGTTAGTGAGACCAAAACCCCCGAAGTCATCTTTGAGTTCTCTCTTTGTCTCAGAATATATATCCTGTTGGGTCTACCTTCAATATATATACAGAATTCCACTCTTACTAATCCTATTAATTACCAGGGGCCAAGCCACTATTAATACTTGTCTTAAATTACTTAAATAGCCTCCTAACTCATATCCCTGCTTTCACTCTTGCCCCCTTTCAGTACCTATACAGTATCTATTGATAGTGTTAAAATAGAAGTCAGATCACATAACACCTCTGGTCAAAACTCTCCACTGAGAAAATGATGCTTAAAAAAATACCACTCATAACAGTATATAAAGTATATAAAATACTTAGGCATAAACATGGCAAAAGATGTACAAGACTTATACACTGAGAATTACAAAACACTGCTGACAGAATTAAAGAAATATGAATAAACAGAGATATATACTGAGCTTCTAAATCAAAATACTCAATATTGTTAAGATACCAATGTTCCAAAACTGATCTACAGATAAAAAGTCCAGTGGATTTTGCTATAGACCTCGACAAGTTGATTCATACGGAATCAATTTTCATAAGAAAATTCATACGGAAATACAAAGACCTATAATAGACAAAACGACTCTGAAAAAGGAAAACAAAAGTTGAAGGATTAACATTATCTGATTTCAAGAATTATCATAAAGCAACAGTAATCAAAACAGCCTAGTACTGGTATAAAAGGTAGACAAATAGATCAGTGAAACAGAATAGAGTTCAGAATATGTGGACCATTGATTTTCAGCAAAAGTGCAAAGTCAACTGAGTGGTAAAAGTACAGTCTTTTCAACAGCTGGTGCTGGAACAACTGGATATCCATATGCAAAAAAAGAAAAAAAAAGTGAACCTTGACCCATACCTCACACTGTGTACAAAAATTCACAGAAAATGGATCATAGACCTAACTGTAAAACCTAAAATTATGAATTTTCTAGAAGAAAACATACCAGGAAATCTTTATGACCTTGAGTTAGGCAAAGACTTCTTAGCTACAACATTAAAAAAAAAAAGGATAAACTAGGCTTCATAAAAATTAAAAATGTCTCCTCTATAAAAGACACTTTAAGAAAATGAAAAGATAAGCCATCAACGGGGAAAAAATATTTGTAAAGCAAACATCTGACAAAGGACTTCTATCTAGAATATATAAACCAAAATTAAACCAAATTCACTGTCATGTGTAGTGCAACTCTCCACTGGGTTTCTAAGGCTGTGAACCTTTAAGGAAGAAGACTGCCTCATCTTTCTCCCATGGAGAACTCCCATGGAGAACTATGCTGTGTTAGCAGCCAAATGCCTTAACCACTGCACAACCAGAGATCCTTAGAATACATAAAGAACTCTCAAAATGAATAGTAAGTAAACAGACAATGCAATTGAAAAAAAAATGGGGAAAAGATTTGAACATTTACTAAAGATATGCAGATAACAAACACATGAAAACTTAACATGCTTAGTTACTAGAGAAACGTAAATTAAAACCACAATGAGGTACCACTTAAAGACTGAAAAACAAAAAGCCTTACACTGGCCTTTTACTTTTCTCATTCAGAGTAAAAGCTCAAAACCCTTAAATAATCAACAAAATCTTCCATGATTCTCCCCACCCCACCTCCTTGCCCACTATTTCTCTTCTTGCTCTAGCTATATTGATCTCTCCATGGTCTTCCTTCAAGATCGTGGCACAGTCCCAATTTCAAGGCCTTTGTTTTGTTCTTTCTTATGCCTAAAATACAGTTCCCTAGATATTCATACAGCTTGACCCTTCACCTTGTTCAGGTGTTACTTAAATTATCTGTGATGCCTCTCCTGAACACTGTAAAATTGTAAACCTACTGCCCCCAACAAACACGTTTGTTCTCTTAGGCATTTTGCCTTTTTAGTATTCAGACATAGCATATTTACTGATATTAGCTAGTAGGAGCTCTGGTGGTGTCATGTCTAAGGTATTTGACTGCTAACCAGAAGGCTGATGGTTCAAACCCACTAGCCACTCCTCAGAATGAAGACTGGGCAATCTACTATAGTGATATCACCTGGGACTTTCTCCTGCAAAGAGCTCAAAACAAGCAAGGATTTCTTCTCTTCTTTTTTTCATTTCTCTTATCTCCAATGCCCACCACACAGTAAGCACTCAAATACTGAATAAACATGTGAATCAAGATATTTTACCTTAATTCAGAGCTCAGAAGCAATGGCCCAGCTGAACATTATAACATTGATTCAGGGTTATGCTAACTTTGAAGAGTTCTGAACCACAACATAAAAAAAGCCTAGAAAATCCACTCACCTGAAGGGTTGTACTTAAAGTTATTCAGCAGAGATGTGGTTGGTGTGTCAGAAGCAGAAGAAGCAATTTCACATACATTTAGGTCTTCATCTTTCATTTTATCCATCTTGGTTTGTTCTATATTTAGTCTATTCTTACAAAAAAACAATACTCAGATGAACTTATTCATAGCACAGATTCTGCCACTCATCAATAGTAAGGACTGGATTCCCAATAAATAGAAGACCCATTCACACCGCTTAAAGTGACTTGAGGATGCTATCTAAAGATGGAAGAAAACATATATATATTTCTTCTCATTTCTATTTCCTCAGGCCACATTAGGAATTAAGCAGTAGTGAATTAGAGTCAAAACTTTTGACCATAATGTACATATTTGAGAAACATTATAATTAAGAAAACTATCCCATCATACCTATCAGAAGCTGCCTTTTCTCTCACAGCACCTTGTTCTACTTCATCCAGTAGTTCCACTGTAAAATAACCAAACAGTTTCCAACAGAATTCTCAATTTGAAAACAATTTACCATCCCCTTGCTTCCAGCTACCAATTTGAGTAGATACCAAAAATAGTAATTGGAAAGGAAATGTTTGTAAGATATGAACATCCATAGAGGTCTGTACTGGCCACAATAAAAAACCAGAACAGAAAAGACTATTCAAAATACTAAAGACTATCAAGTACTAACATTATGCCACTACATAGTACCCTTGGGCAGTCAGCTGGATTAAGGACCAATCTACGTTCCCTTTAGCCTTTTAGCCTTTTCCGGACTCCTTTATGGTCATTCACACTGGTTCTTTTTTTTTTTTTTTTTTTGGCAGTGTTCCCTCCCCTCCCCCTGCCACCCCTGGTAACCAACAAAGTTCGTTCCCTTCCTTATACAAACCTTTCTTTGACTTTTTACAATAATGAACAAATACTTTATTTGTGGGAGCTCTGGTGGCATAGTGCCTAAGGCATTTGACTGCTAACCGGAAGGTTGGTGGCTCAAACCCACCAGCCACTCCTGAGAAGGAAGTTTGGGCAATCTAGTTCCGTAGTGATACTGCCTCAGAAACCCAAGGAGGGGTTGCTATGTAGTGATACTGCCTCAGAAACCCAAGGAGGGGTCGCTATGGGTCGGAGACGACTTGACGGCATATGACAACAACAACTATATTTGTTCTTCTGTGACTGACTTATTTCACTCAGCATAATGTCCTCCAAGTTTATCCACATTATGCAGTGTTTTCCAGATTCTACATTATTCTTTAGTGTTGCACAGTATTCTATTGTCATACTGGCTCTGAAGATATATTTTTTTTTCTCCACTCATCCCAATCCTAATGCATCTTACCTCACACTATATACCGTTAGGGAGTTTTCCCTTAAATCATTCAGATATGTCCCTTTCACTCTCATAGGCTGTGGCATTAATAGTTCAGTGGCATGAAAACAATTATTTTAACTTCAGAGTCCATAAAGTCCAGGGAACATAGGAAAATATTATATTTCATTGAATCCAAGATGCACATTTTAAACAGATCTGAAATTGGATGTGATTTACAAAAAAATGTGCATGACAATTTAATTGACAGCTTTTTTTTTCTTTCTTAAGGTACATAAAGGCTGCCAGTTCAAACCCACCAGCCACTCCACAGAAGGAAGACTGGGCAATCTACTTCTGTAAAGATTTACCACCTCAGAAACCCAAAGGGGGTCGCTGTGAGTTGGAACTGACTCATAGCAGTGAGTTTGGTTTTGGTTGGTTTAAGGTACATAAAAGTAATAGTGCATATTTTATAATTAATAGCATTTTAGATGCAATGAAGTATATTTAGGTACTTTCCAGGAAAAAGCATCTCGGAGGACCATCATATCTCCAATGTTTTTCCCCTGTACTATCTAGAAGTGTTCAGTCTGGGGCAGAAAAAGTGAAATTCACTAAAAATGCTGATAAGCCAATTATTATTCTTGCTCCTAGCCTATTTCTTTTATCTCTTTTGGCATCTCTAAAACACACTCACTAGATGATCTTCCATAGAAACAATTAGACCTGGTCTTCTTAATTGTCTTCTGGTGGGAGAAATAAAGAACAGAGCTGCTTCTTTCTTTGTTCTCTATAGCTCCTAATAAGTCTTTCCTAGGATTCCTATCAAGGAGCACTGATGACATAATGCCTAAGGCATTTGACTGCTAACTAGAGGGCTGGAGGTTCAAACCCACCAGCCATTCCTTGGAAAGAAGGTTGGGCAATCGACTTCCATAGTACCCAAGGAAGGGTCGCTATGAGTCGGATCCGATTCAACTGCAGTGAGTTTGGGGATTCTTATCACCATCAATGAAACTCATTCTATATATCCTCTTCTCTGCAATTCTAAAATGTAGAAAGCTCTAAAAATAAAAAATACTTTGTAACCCTTTTGGTGGTGCAACCTGACATGACATGCTATTATAGTCTTATTCTACTTTGTGTGATTATCAACCCATTTCTCTGTAGAAATATGTGTTTTATTACAGAGTATTGCCCAAGCTCTCTTGGAATGTTGGGTAACATAAACACTATATACCCTGTGTTACATTTCCCAAAAATCCAGAACAATTCTATATTGTGAAACATTTGACCCAAGGTTTCAGATAAGGAACTGTGAGTGAATTGTGGGAGTTCTGGTAGCCTTAGTACCTAAGGCATTTGACCGCTAACCAGAAGGCTGAGGGTTCAAATCCACCAGCCACTCCTTGGAAGGAAGACTGGGCAATCTACTTCTACAGAGATATATCCAAGGATCAATTTGATGGCAGTGAGTTTGGGTAGTTTTTTTTTTGTTGTTGTTGTTGTTGTTGTTTAGTACTAACTGACTTGCTGAGCACAAATAATCCCTTCTTGCTTAGATTCCTAACTCTGCCCTCTGGCCAAGTCTCCAGGGACAAGTCTTAGCAATTCTTACATTATAAAAACAAAAAGAAAAAAATCCTTCAAGGATATACTGCTCATAGAGTACCACTAAAACAGAAAGACAAAGGTCAATTCTCAAATACCAACTGTAAGAGTTTATAAATGCAATATTATAAGCCAAGACAATACCCCATTTTATTTCAAATATTGGAATGAGGCAGAGTAGTCAGTTTACTACTACTGCAAATCCCAGTATCAGCGTTCAGGGAACATGAAGCTCTCACCATTCACAATCTCATACCCAAAAAACATCTTCAGTCCTGGGACACTTCGACCAGTCTCCACATTCCTCACTGTTTTAGAAAACAATTCATTTGGTTAATAAAAAGTAACATTGCCCTAAAACTGCAATAAAATATAATACCTCTCAAAAGTGTCCAAATTGGAGCTTTATAAAAATCTTTTAAATTATTTCCCCCAAGAAATGAAGAGCAAGTAATAAATTATAAAGCTACAGTCTTGAAACAAATAGTATAAAGAGTGACAGTGGTACACTGAATTTATACTTCTCTTGAGAATATTCTAAGGCCCATGGAGCTATGGACCAACTATTTATGATATTTCTATTTACTTCTACTCCACCTTATTACAGGGGGGAAAAAAAAATCAAGGCAAGTGACCACTTCTAGAATCATGTTACATGTCATGTTACACGCTTGAAAATATTAATTATCAGGGACAACAATCTAACTCCTGGCCCAAATACAGGCCCCTTCTATGAGCAGGTGAGGAAGTTAGAAGTTTAGCAGTCAAGACTACAAAGTGCTATCACTTTTCTAAATGGAAGTACTTAGAGCACCTATCTTGTCATTCTCATAATCCAAAATAATTTGAGTTCCACCCTCAATATTCCATTGGAATTATTCTCACTGAGATCAACAGATATGACAAATCTGCCGATTTGTCAAATCCAAAAATAAATAATCTGTTTTACAGACTTAAACTTGATGCCCATGCAACTTTTGGCAATACTGTTCTCTTTTCTTATTTGGCTTAAAGGGCATTCCTTGTGTTTAGTTCTTTTCCTACTAAACATCTACAGCTATCACATTAAGCACTCACTCTTAGGTAGATACTGTGCTAATTATTTGCCTAATTTAATTCTCTAGTAGCCTAATGAGATAGGCATTTCATTATCCCCATTTTATGGAGGATTCTTAGGCTCAGAAAGATTAAATAACTTGCTATGGTCATACTGCTAACAAAAAGACATGGTCAGGATTCAAAATCAGGCCTTACTAATTTGAATACCCATCTTTGTACCCATTGTTACAATGCCTCCCTGATTTATTGCTCCAGGTCTCCACCATCTCTACCATCCCCTTACATACAGATGTTTCTCAGACTTATGTCCTATAGCCTTTTCCCTTTTCCTTGAGTGATCACATCTGTTTCCTATTTGTCCTGCCTCCCATTATTTCTCCAGTTTGGATTATTTCTCTGAGTACATTTCCAACTAACTAGTAAACTGACTTACTGTAAGAAATCATTATCTTTTCTGTAAATCATTATCTTTTTCTACCTACCAACAAACTTGCCTCTCTTTTCATTTATATCAGTTAGTGGCAGTTCTGTATCTGCTAACCAGACGGCTGGCGGTTCAAACCCACCAGCCACTCCTCGGAAGGAAGGTTGGGCAATCCTACTTCCGTAGTGATACTGCCTCGGAAACCCAAG